ACTTTCTAAGTCCAAAATTTGACTTACTATGTGTTAGGTCTTAACTGGTCTCGATTCAGTTCAATTATGATTATCCTGTCAACAATTCGAATTGATATCTCGATGCATCACCGTGCCTAAATGTAACGTATATAGCATTATTACATTATTGTTACTGACCTCTGTTGCTGCTATTTTAATTTCTGATGCAGATATTATTAGTATAGATTCCGATACTGGTTGAACTAGCACTTTACAATACTCCAGCCACACCATGTTCAGTCCGCCTTAATAGAGCATAGTGTAGTTGAATGTTAATTTGTGTATGCGGTATGTGGATGAATGACAAACAAATGAAAACAAACTTGAAGAATTTAGATTGATTATTGGCATTTCTGAATCAATTCAGAAGAGTGTGGGGACTGGTGAAGATCGCTGACTTTAGCATAGCAGCTAGCGATGGCTTCTCCTTCTCCCTCTCCTACTTTCTCCTGCTCGATGTGTCAGATGTTCAGTTACTCCTCTGCCTCCTTTAGCGGTAATGGTACGTGTAACAAGTGTAGTTTGTTTAATTTTTTGACATGGAGGCGAGGCTCAGTGATTTAGAAGCCCGACTCCGCACCTTGGTAGATCAGTCTTTAGCTACTGTAGCTAGCCAGTCCCCAGTAGTCGGTGCGGGCCGGCCTAAGTTAGCCTGTGGTAGCCGTCCCCCGGCATCTCCCACGCAGCCAGGAAGGGGTGGCTGGGTGACTGTCTGAAGGAGGAATAGTCGTAAGCATTCAAAGCCCACGGGGCACCATCAACCTGTTCACGTTTCTAACAGATTTTCCCCACTCAGCGACACACCCGCTGAGAAACCAACTCTGATCATTGGCAGCTCCGTTTTGAGAAACATGAAGTTAGCGAAGCCAGCGGCCATAGTTAAGTGCATCCCTGGGGCCAGAGCGGGCGACATTGAGTCTTATTTGAAACTACTGGCTAAGGATAAACGGAAATACAGTAAGATTGTTATTCACGTCGGTGGTAATGACTCCCGGTTACGCCAATCGGAGGTCACTAAGATTAATGTTGAGTCGGTGTGTACATATGCAAAAACAATGTCGGACACCGTAGTTTTCTCTGGACCCCTGCCAAATCTGACCAGTGATGACATGTATAGACTCATGTCGTCATTCCACCGCTGGTTGTTGAGGTGGTGTCCAGCAAACGATGTGGGCTTTGTAAATCATTGGCAGACTTTCTAGGGAAGACCTAGTTCCCACTTGGGAAGGAGCAGCTCTCATTTCTAGAAATCTGGCCAAGTTTATTTGTGGACCAAATCCATGACAACCCAGAGGTGAGACCAGGAGGCAGAGTTGCAGTCTAACACACTTCTCTGCCCTTCTATTTCAGCAGTTACCCACCCAAAACACTACGCAGAGTCGCAGTCTACCACACGTCTCTGCTCCTCCATTCCAGGAGTTACTTAGTGAAAACCCTATAGTGACGGTGTCTGTCCCCGATCATTGAAGTTATTTAAATCAAAGGTAAACAGAAGAGGAGCTGTGCATAAAAATTTCATAAAAATTAAAGCCACAAGAGCAATAGTGCAAATGAATAGGAGAGTTAAATGTGGACTCTTAAACATCAGATCTCTCTCTTCTAAAGGTGTACTAGTAAATGAACTAATATTAGATTATGATATTGATTTATTTCATCTTACTGAAACCTGGCTGGGTGATGGAGAATATGTTAGCCTAAATGAATCCACCCCTCCCAGTTATATTTATACTCACATTCCTTGAGGCACAGGCCGAGGAGGTGGAGTTGCAGCTATCTTCGACTCTAGTCTACTAATCAGCTCTAAACCTAAACTAAATTCTCTAAACCTAACTCATTTGAAAGCCTTGTCTTAGTTTTTCACACCCAAGTTGGAAATCACTGCAACCAATTCTTTTTGGTATAATGTACCGAGCACCGGGTCCGTACTCTGAATTCTTATCTGAATTTGCAGAGTTTTTGTCAACTTTAATCCTTAAAACGGACAAAGTTATTATTGTAGGGGATTTTATTATTCATGTGGACGTTGAGAATGACAGCTTCAGGACTGCGTTCATCTCTCTGTTAGATTCCATTGGCTTCTCTCAGAGTGTTCATGAACCGACTCACTGTTTTAACCACACCCTCGACCTTGTTCTGGTATATGGTATTGAAATTGAACATTTAATAGTGTTCCCACAGAATCCCTCTTTATCTGACCACTGTTTGATAACTTTTGAGTTTGTATCGCTGAACTACACGCCATTGGGCAAACAATTTTATACAAGATGTCTGTCTGATAGCACTGTAGCTAAATTTAAGGATGCGATTCCATCCGCTCGAAATTCATTATTAGATCAAAAAGTAACGGAGGACTCCTATGCTAATTTCAGTCCCTCCCAAATCGATCATCTTGTTGATAGTGCTGCAGGCTCACTGCGAATGACACTTGACTCGGTTACCCCTCTAAAAAAGAAAATAATAAAACAAAGGCGGTTAGCTCCATGGTATAATACTGAAACTCGCAAATTAAAGCAAATATCGCGGAAACTTGAGAGGAATTGGCGTTCCACCAAACTGGAAAATTCTCGTTTAATTTGGCAAGATAGTCTTAAAACTTATAGGAAGGCCCTCCGTAATGCCAGAGCAGCGTACTACTTGTCATTAATAGAGGAAAATAGGAACAACCCTAGATTTCCTTTCAACACTGTAGCCAGGCTGACAGAGAGTCACAGCTCTATTGAACCAAGTATTCCCATAGCTCTCAGTAGTTATGACTTCATGAGATTCTTTAATGATACAATTCTAACTATTAGAAACAAAATTCACCAAGACCTGCCCTCAACTGGCACCAACTTCTCTAAACTCAGGAACCTTAGAAATGGCTGTAAAACCAGATATATGTTTAGACTGCTTTGCTTTTGCTTTAATGATGAGTCCTCCATGCACGCCAAAGTTAGTCATGGATTTCCACAAGGATCTGTCCTCGGACCAATCCTGTTCACTTTATATATGCTTCCTTATCAGGAAATATTCCATAAACTTTCATTGTTATGCAGATGATACTCAGTTATATCTAGCGATCAAGCCAGATCAATTCAGATGTGCCTTCAGGATGTTAAAACCTGGATTTAGTTATTTTTCTGAGGCCCAAGCACCTCCGTGACGCATTATCTAAAGATATAGTTTCCCTTGATGGCATCGCCCTGGCCTCCAGCACCACTGTGAGGAATCTTGGAGTTATCTTTGATTATTTGATTGATGAAAATTAGTCCATGCATTTGTTACATCTAGGCTGGACTACTGCAATTCTTTATTATCAGGCTGCTCGAAAAAGTCCATTAAGACTCTTCAGCTGATTCAGAATGCTGCAGCATGTGCTCTGACAGGAACCAGGAAAAGAGATCACATTTCTCCTATCTTAGCTTCTCTGCATTGGCTTCCAGTAAAATTTAAAATCATTCTTACCTACAAAGCTCTTAATGGTCAGGCACCATCTTATCTTAAAGAGTTCATAGTACCTTACTACCCCACCAGAGCACTCCGCTCCCAGAATGCAGGGTTACTTGTCGTTCCTAGAGTCTCCAAAAGTACACTAGGAGCCAGAGTGTTCAGCTTTCAATCTCTTCTCCTGTGGAACCAGGTTCCAGTTTGGGTTCAGGAGGCAGACACCATCTCCACATTTAAGACTAGGCTGAAGACTTTCCTCATTGATAAAGCTTATAGTTAGGGCTGGCTCAGATGAGTCCTGAACCATCCCTTAGTTATGCTGCTATAGACCTAGACTGCCGGGGGACTTCCCATGATGCACTGAGCTCCTCTCTCCCTTTCTTTCACTCCCTCTGTATGCAACCTCATCCCATTATTGCATTACTAACACAACTTCTCCCCTTTTCGGTAGTCTTGTGCTTTCTCGTCCCTCTCCTCTCTCCTCCTATCACTTCCTGCAGGTGTTTCTGGCTCTGGAGCTGTGGAGTCTGGATCTGTGGCTGCGGGTCACCTGCTGCTTCAGTGTTCCTGCTCGACACCCTCTGCTACAATTATTACTAGTCCTATTGTTATTATTAACATTACGATTATTATCATAAACGTTACTTTATATATCTGTACCATTTTTCATTTAGTCTATAGCAACATAACCTTTACTGTCTGTACCTCTGTGTGTATATTGTGTAGGCTGCCTCCCTCCCCTCTCTATCTCCTTCCATCCCTCTCTCTCTCTCTCTCTCTCTCACCCCCAACCGGTCGAGGCAGATGACCGCCCACCCTGAGCCATGGTTTTGCTCGAGGTTTCTGCCTCTTAAAAGGACGTTTTTACTTGCCTCTGTCGCCTAGTGCTGCTCTTGGTGGGAATTGTTGGGCTTCTGTAAATAACATCACAGAGTATGGTCTAGACCTGCTCTTTTATGAAAAGCGCTGTGAGATAACTGTTGTTGTGATTTGGCGCTATATAAATAAAATTTATCCGTATAGCAATGCATCAAAGAATCAATCATTTTTCACACCCCTACTATGTATACAGTCTAACATACGTACCATATGTATACACATTTTAATCAAAAAGCCAGGTAAATCTAGCTGCTAAGATAAATGTAGTGGAGTAAAAAGTACAATAATTCCCTGGACTAAAATATTAAGTCTGGACTAAAATATTTTCAGTCAACTAAGTTGAGTTGTGCTTTTCAGAAATGCCATGAATTGCCATGGAAGTGGTATTATATGTTATATATTAGTAAATACTGCATGTGTAAATGAAAGGATAGATGAGATTTTCGCTGTTCTGATTTAGTAGTGACTCTAGATAAAGGGTGGAATTATTTACAAAAACTGCATCATAATGTACAGATGAAATCATGTGCTCATTCCAACCCCAGTCTTTGGGTTTAAATCGTTTTTGTGATCAGTGTGGTTTGTTAGGGTTCTACACTGGAGTATGTATTATGGAGTATGTATGGGAAAACAAAAGCAGGAGAGGAATACCCAGTCTTAGTACTGTATCTTACCTGAAATTTGCGCAGATGGTATTTGTAAATGGGTCCAACCTCCACATTCACTTCATTTTCCAGATCCACACGGTACCTCCCTCTCAGGGCCAGGCTCTCAGCAACTACAGTTACACACACACACACACACACACACACACACACACAGAGTTGACATTGGATAAGAGTTGACATTGACAGGAGTTTACATAGATACAAAATTAAATGGACACGAGTTGGCATACATAGGACTTGACATGGACACAGGCTGACACAAATAATATTTGAATGCTATATCTTTATATCCCTTAGACTTACACCTTAAGAAGTGCAGGGTTTTGACAGTTGTATGACTAAGAATTTTCAAGGTGAACCCCAAACATTCATTATTATAATAATTGGTGGGAGTCATATCCACTTCTTGGGTGGCAAAGGACTTGTTCACAAGGTATGCCATGGCGAGGACATTTTCCCACCGATTAATACACTTACCATTACACACCAGTGTTATCAATTACACAGGACATTTTACAAGAAGATATATTCATATGTTCGCTCAAAATCTGTATTTTGGCAGCCTCACTCTTGTGGTGCACTTGAAGGTGTGTGTTTAGAGGTGTTGCCTCCAGATGCTGCCACCTTCATCAGACAAAGATTACAGATTACTAGAGTAGGTGTAGTGTTATGTGTTTAAGTCCAGGAGTGCACCTCTGATGCATGCGCATGTATAACATGGTAAACAGTAAATGGTGTGTCGAACCTGGAACTTTCTTTGAGTTATTAGTTGGAAGAGCAGCAGCTCTCTATGGGACCTATCGGAGTAGCAATTAGGTTAAGATGTGTTCTAAGAGCCAAGTTAACTGACTGACAAGTTGAGGATGAGAGAGGTAAATATAATTTTAGCTCACTAACAATGATAGCTTGGCTTAGTATACTTAAGCTACATTTCTAGAAGAGGGCCCAGCTATGCTACATGGTTAACAATATAAGAGCATTGACATGACTAATCAATTCCTCAGTCCCAACAAATCCAGTTTTGTAACTGCTTTTCAGAATTGGTTCTTGAGCTCCAGTTTTAGTAAATCAAGAGCTAAATACACACAGAATGTGGGTGCAAATTGACTAAGGAGACATTTGCACTGCAACACTGTCCAATGCCGTTTTTCCCATTACCAGTACCAGCTCAACTTGACTCAACTCGCTTCCTGCTTTCTTACAGTGCAGATGCTTTGCTGCTTGCTCTTGCCTCTGCTCGCATTCTTTTGTTGAAACTCTTTTTCCTGCCAGAAATTATGAGCAGCAGCTCTTGGATACTTTTAAATCACGGGGACTGTCATCTATTCAGATAAAGTAGGCTATTGCCATACTTTAAACACTTTTATGATCTAAGTGAGGCCTATCAGTAGCACTAGCTTGTACTGCAGTGACTGGAGTTATAGCTAATGCTAATTAGCAACAAGATGCCCCCCCTTTTCCACTGACGACATCCACAAACTTCTACAGAAAACTGCAGTGCTGGAAACCAAGATCCACAGGTTAGAAGTGAATGTGAAAGTGAATGGACTATGTGGGAATGACACTACTTTGCCATGGACCCAAAACAGTGGACAAGAGCATGCTAACAAACGGCTAATTAGCACCAACAAGACTACGAAGAAGCACAAGGCCTGTGTACTGAGTAATTAATCTGAAAGTGGGAGTCTTCCCTGGGGAAATGGGAGGGCAGAACCCAGCGTTCTGAGATTTGTGATGTGATTGGCTGGCCTGCATCATCATGCAGGCAGAGCCCCTCTTCAACCCTTAGTTCTTAGTAGGACACAGCCGTAGACAGCTGCGAAAGGGAGAGTTAGCAACAAACCTCCACAACAACTTAGTGTGCAACAACAGAACAGATTTTTACCACTATTGCAGGACCCAGGATCTCCGTCTGATGACCTGGATAATCTCCCGTCCTCACACAGAAAGGTAAGGACTGAGAGTAAATCAGAAAGTAAAAGGCTGCAGTGAAAGCTAACGACTGGGCCTCAAACTCTGATTGTGGGTGACGCTGCTTTCCGAAGGATACAGTGTCTGACTTGGCAGAAAGAATCCTGCATATCGTGGCTGAACATCCTGCTGTGAAAAACATCATACAACACATGTTTTGAAGCAACAGTCTGAAGTGTTGAAAGAGGCTTTTAATAATCTGTTGAACACAGTCAGCTCTTTGAATGCTGAGGTGTTTATCAGTGGCCCTATACTGCCAATCCAAAGAGGAGCTGAGAGATTCAGCAGATTGATGGCATTGAACACGTGGCTCTCAACGGCATGTACTGTCCATTCACAATTTATTGAAAATTTTTACTTTCTATGGGACCGCATACATCTTTTTAAGGCAGATGGACTTCGACTTAACAAGTCCTTTTAAAATTGTTCAGCTCCAACCTGTTTTACTTTCTGCGTCACTCATCTGTTCCCTCTGCCAAGGACAAGAGGAATCAAAACAAGAAGACATCACACAACACGCCAGAAACCTTGAAGGAGAGCCACCTCAGCCCCCGCAGGAAGAGAGCTCTGATCACAGGAGATATCTGAGCCAAGAGAAAGAGCCTCCACCTCCCTCACTGAAAACCAACAGTGAAGATTCACCATCTTTACCCCCCCAATCCCCATCTAGGACACCCTTCTCTCCAGACACCCTTTCTCCCTCCTCCCCCCTGTTGGACTTCACTGATCACATGAAATAGCTGGTTATTGCTGGGACCACATTTACTCCCCGCACCTTCGCTCGCTCTACTCCCATTCCCTCTACCCTAAACCCCCCTCACTGTCCACCTCCACCGCTGGTTCTAAGTCCTACAGGTTTGACACGTGTCACAAACACAGCGGCCAACCCGCCCTCCCGCTCCGCAATGGCGGAAAAGCCCAGAAAGCTCTGTCTGATACGTGCTGGGTCCAGGCTACAAGGAAAATGGCACTCATGACTCTTCCAAGGACAAGCCGGGGCCCAATGTGCTGGTAGTCTTCTCCATTCCTGTCTTGATAGTTAACACACTCATCATTCTTTTTCTGTTAAGAAACAGGAAGCACTCAACATAGCCTGCAAATTTATCATTAATTCCTCGTCAACCACAACCTGTTGCAAAAAGTGGGCCAGATAAACTAAATTTAGCTTTATTAAATGTCAGGTCTGTTGCAGGAAAAACATTTTTAATCAATATTTTTATAATCACTCACAATCTTAATTTCATGTTTTTAACTGAAACTTGGTTGGACCAAGATAACAGTGCAGCTGTCCTTATCGAGTCTACCCCTCCCAACTTCAGAGAAGCTAGAGTGCATAAGAGAGGAGGTGGAGTTGCCATTTTGTTTAATGACTCCCTCCAATGCAAAAAGATGTCTTATGGGAATTTTGCTTCTTTTGAAGATGTGGCTCTTCAGCTGAATTCCTCTTCTTGAGCTATTTCTCTAAATATCTACAGGCCCCTTAAATACTATGCAAATTTTTGATGACTTTGGTGAACTGCTGTCTGTGTTGACTTTGACTGTGTGGTTATTGTTGGTGATTTTAACATACATGTTGACAACCCCCAGGACAGAGGGACTAAAGAACTGTGTTGTGTTCTTGATAATTATGAACTGACTCAACATGTGACGGAACCCACACACAATAAGGGGCACACTTTGGACTTGGTCATCTCCAAGGGTCTGGACATTTCCAAGGTTGTGGTGACTGATGCTGCTCTCTCTGATCATTCCTGTGTTTTCTTTGAGAGTGCTATCTGCGTGCACACTAATGTGCAAACAGAGGTAATCACAAAACGGCATATAACTGAACATGCTTGTGAAAAATTAATCAAGGCTTTCTCTTCCACACCCGCCCTCTCACGGGTCTCAGTCGGTGATAATTTCAATTCTAAAGTTACAAAGGTTACTGATGCCATTGCACCAGCCAAGGTGAAGGTGGTCTCTGGTAAGAGAAGATCTCCATGGAGAAATGCCACGTTGGTTATAAACTCTAAAAAGTGAGTGTCAAAACGCTTAACGCAGGTGGCAGAAAACAAATCTCCAGAGCTGAGCTGACACAGGAAGCACATCCTCTGCTGGGCCTTCCTGATGGTGTCAGTGTTGGGCTCCCACTTCAGGTCCTGGGATATAGTGGATCCCAGAAACCTGAAGGATTCCACAGCAGACACAGGGCTGTTGAGTATGGTGATGGGGGCAGAGTGGGGGGGCTCTTTCCTGAAGTCCATGATCATCTCCACAACTTTGAGCGTCTTAAGCTCCAGGTTGTTGACTGACTGCACCAGAGAGCCAGCTGATCAACCTCCCATCTGCAGGCCGACGTGCCACCGTCCCGGATGAGGCCGATGACTGTTGTGTCGTCAGCGAACTTCAGGAGTTTGACAGATGGGTCTCCTGAGGTGCAGTCGTTGGTGTAGAGGGAGAAGAGAAGTGGGGAGAGCACACACCCCTGGGGGGCGCCAGTGCTGATAGTCCGGGTGCTGGATGTTTCCCAGCCTCACCTGCTGACTCCTGTCAGTCAGGAAGTTTGTGATCCACTGACAGGTGGAGGCTGGCACAGTGAGCTGGGTGAATTTGGTGCTGAGGATGTCCAGGATAATGGTGTTGAACGCTGAGCTGAAGTCCACGAACAGGATCATTGCATATGTCCCTGGAGAGTCGAGGTGTTGCAGGATGTGATGCAGACCCAAGTTGACAGCATCATCCACTGACCTGTTAGCCCTGTAGGCAAATTGCAGGGGGTCCAACAAGGGGCCTGTAATATCCTTCAGGTGGGCAAACACCATTCTTTCAAAGGACTTCATGACTACAGATGTCAGGGCGACAGGCCTGTAGTCATTCAGACCAGAGATGGAGGTTTTTTTTGGGACCAGGATGACTGTGGAGCGTTTGATGCAGGAGGGAACTTCACACAGCTCCAGTGATTTGTTGAAGATCTGAGTGAAGATGGGGGCCAGCTGGTCTGCACAGATTTTCAGGCATGATGGTAAGACACCGTCAGGTCCAGGAGCCTTCCTGATCTTCTGCCTTTGGAAGAGGTGGCTCACGTCCTCTTCACAGATCTTGAGTGCAGGTGAGAGGTCAGGGGGGGAAGGTGACTGTTTGAAGATGGTGTTGGAGTGGGGGAGAGGTGTGACTCTGGGCTTTTCAAACCTACAGTAGAAACCATTCAGCTAGTCTGCCAATCGTTGAGTACCAGCAGTGGTGAGGGATGGTCTCCTGTAGTTGAGAGTGTCCGTATTTAGCTTTTTAGCATAGCACCTCGTTGCAGCTTTGACCTCTTTAGTCAGTGTGTTCCTGGCCTGGTTGTACAGGACTCTGTCCCCACTTCTGAAGGCCTCCTCCTGGTCTGACGAAGCTGCCTGAGTTTCCAGGGTTTTTGGTTGTTGTATGTGTGGAAGGTTTTAGTCGGCACACACATGTCCTCACAAAATCTGATGTAAGATGTCACAGTGTCATTTTAGTTGCTCCAGGTCAGTGGCTGCAGCCTCAAAAACACTCCAGTCAGTGCAGTCAAAGCAGGCCTGTAACTCCAGCTTTGACTCGTTGGTCCATCTTTTCGTTAGTTTTCTGGTCGGCCAGGTGTAGTAACACCTCACTAACACAGGCCTGAGGTGGAATCTAAACAGCGACCAGAACAAACAAGGAAAACTCCTGCTGTGAATTAAACGGTTTACAGATTATAAATAATATCTTTAGGTGAGGCCTGCACGATTTCTTCAACACTGTGACATCTGTGCACCAACCTTCGTTTATATAGAAACAGAGTCCGCCTCCCCGTGTTTTTCCCGTGAGCTCTGCGCAGATGAGATTAAATCCCGGTTGGTGAAGTGCGCTGTCTGGGATGTGCTCGGTGAGCCAGGATTCGGTGAAACGGAGGGCAGCAGATCTGCAGAAGTCCGAGTTAGTTCTGTTGAGGAGCAGCAGTTTGTCCATTTTGTTGGCTAGAGAGCGGATATAGAGAGCGCCAGGTGGATTGAAGGGAGTCTCAGCTTAACCAGCGCACCTGCACGTTTTCCCCTGCGCCGTTTCCGAAGGATCCCAAACAGAGCTGCCGCTCCTCCAACTAATAACTCCGGGAAAGTTCCAGGGTCATTAAAGAGCAGTGGAATAGTACGAGCAGTAGAAAGTCCAATGTTTAAGAGCTCTTCTCTGGTAAAAGTTACCAGAGAGGGACGGCAGAACACAGCGTTAATTAACAAAAACACAAAACGCACTACGGAGGGTAATCCCGAGGCGGCCGTCTGCAGCGCCATCTTGGTATTTAATTAAATTTTTATTTAATTTGATTTTATTTTTAAGTAAAATCATTGAAAAAGCTGTTTTTCACCAGCTTAGTGCTTTCTTGGCACTAAATAACTGTTTTGATGTCTTCCGCTGAGTAACCGTATTGAGCAGGTCAACAATTGGATGTGCCAGAAATAAAGTTATTGTTTTTGGAGCCAGGGAAGAATGATTAAAATTTGGTGCTCAGCTTTAATCTGTGATGTTACGAACCACAAATCAAGCCAGAAATCTTGGCGTAGTCATGGACTCTGGACCCTGAATTTAAGCAGCCACATTAAGACAATTACAAATTCAGCCTACTATCACCTGAAGAATATATCAAGGATTAAAGGACTTGTGTCTCAGCAGGTTACCAACTTATCCATGCATTTATCTTCAGTCGTCTCGACTACTGTAACAGTGTCCTTACAGGGCTCCCTAAGAAATCCATCAGACAGCTGCAGCTGATTCAGAACGCTGCTGCTCGAGTCCTCACTAAGACGAAAAAGGTGGATCACATCACTCCAGTTCTGAGGTCTTTACACTGGCTTTCTGTCCGTCAGACAATTGATTTTAAAATCCTGCTGTTAGTTTATAAAGCACTGAATGGTTTGGGGCCAAAATACATTTCTGATCTTCTGCTTCGTTCTGAACCATCCAGACCTCTCAGGTCGTCTGGAGCATGTCTGCTTTTTGTCAAAACTAAACGAGGAGAAGCAGCATTCAGTTATTATGCTCCATATATCTGGAACAAACTCCCACATAACTGCAGGTCTGCTGAAACTCTTTTTTCAATTTCCCTGTGTTGCTTTTATGTTTAATGTAAAGCACTTTGTTGTTGAAATACGCTGTACAAATAAACTTACCTTGCCTTACTCCACTCGGTTTCGCCGTGCTCTGTTTTCCATTGCAGATAGTATGCAGAGATGGTACCCCTCAATGTAGCTGGTCGTCATAGCGACGCCACACATAACTGCCGCAACGTAATGTTCAGTGCGACACACACACTAGCGACCCATATACAGCTGTCTCTTGATTGAAGTTAAAAAGTTTCAACATTCCTCAGAATGTAAAGACTAGTGCTGCAGCTAACGATGATTTTAGTATTCAAAGCTTTTATAGATTATTTCAACAATTCATCGTTTAAGAAGTACCTTTGCTTGGCAACAGCGCACCCATTCCCAGTTAACGAATGACTGTGACTGTGTCCGAAATCCCCACTCATTCACTACTCCCTACCCCTCTGTAGGGAGTTGTATGTAGAGCACTACACAGTGAGCTCACTCGCATTATTTAAAATTACTAAAACAGTTTTGGACACTACCGATCGTTATTTTGTATATATATATGTAGGGCTTGGTTGGTGACCATAGGTTGTACACTACTTTTCCAATTGCATTCTGGGATACACTGAGTGGACTATACAGGGTATAACAATTATCACTATATATTCGGACAGCACTAAAAAATGGCGAGGTCACTATATAGTCCACTATACAGTGAGTAGTGGGTGATTTCAGACGCAGCCTGTGAGGTTACAACTCACGGTCCAAAAAGGAGAACAACAAACGCACATGTGCACATTTTCAGCTGAGGACTGCAGCTTACTTTGTCAAGCCTTCAACTCATGATTTCAGTTAAATGCTAAAGTTGCTGTTACCTTGTCTGTGGTCCGCTGGCAGAACACCGGCTGCTTTTTGTTCAGCTGCCGTCGTGCTGTTGCCGAGGCGACATTATTTTGTTTTACGCTAGACGGACGGTAACATTACAGAGTTGTTGTTTTCTTTAGCTTGAAATAATCCCATACTTTCGACACTTTTTTCTTTGTCTCTCGCTATTTTCTCAGTGCCATTATAATCACGTCATGTTCACAGCAAAAGCACGATGTGCAACAGTAATAAATGTCCGTGTGAAACAGTGTTCTTAACAGTTATATGGATTAAACAAAGCATCGATGCAAAGAATTTGTGTCGATGCATTTTATTAAATCGATTTAATCAATGAATTGTTTCAGCCCTAGACAAGACAGATAAGCAGTATGAAAACGTTCCAGCTGTGGAAGAGCTTTTACGCTGCCATTGTTGCTGCAGGAACCAGCCGGCCACACACACTGCCGGTCGCCTTCCCCTGCCGCCACTTGCGGAGCTCCTCAACTCCGAAAACTTTCACACATTTTTTGTTCCGCCATCACTTCTCGTAAAACTGCAAATTTTTTAAATCTACACAGCTGATTTCTCACCTCAAAATTTCTCAGAAGTGGATTTAGTGATGAAATAATGTGTGAAAATTGTAAAATATAACTGTCTGGCGTGCGCAATGATGATGATGCAGTGAATGGTGACGATTCTCAGTAGCCTGCTGTTTTCACGTCACATTTTAGTATTAGGTGATACGAAAAAACCTGGTAGCAGGTACAACTTTTCCGCAATGGAAAACTAAAAAAGGCAAGTGGAGTCAAGGTGAGCTGGTACCATGCAGTGGAGAAGGGGCTTAAGTAAATGTGGTCCAATGATTTTTACCTCCAGGGTGGAGAAAAGTGATCTGTCCTGTCCCAGTGTTCTCATCGTACTCCACACGTTCCACTTCTCCTCCTCCTCTGCTGGGCCTGGAGAAACTCATCTCCAGCCGGTCCTTCATTCTCTCCTCTGGCATGGAAGAGGGGATTTTGGAAACCTTGAGCTCCTTTCTGGAAACATCGAGGTGGACCTTCATTGATGACAGCACACAACAATTACAGGGAGTCACCGCAAACAATACTTACCAAATACAGTATAACGGAATAACAGTGCACCGCTGTTCTGAAAGGCAGTACTGATGCTAGGAAATGAGTTGGTACGCTAAAACTTTAAACACTTTAAAGTAAAGCTTCGCTTCCAAGTCTGGCGCGCACACACACAATCTGTTGATGTGCAGCAATACTTGTCATGGCCTGAAAGTGGAAAAACACCATCACTGCACAAAATGTACCTCAAACTTAACAGCAGGATCCATGGTTATTCTTTTTGGTTTCACTTCCAAACTACAACTGTCACAGGACACAGAGCACTTGGCAGTCTTCAGGATTTGAGAGGCAACTGGAGAACAGAAAAAAATGAGAGAGATAGGTATACTCATCACAGTAAGGTATTGTTAAAGTATGGGTTTGGTATCACTACTGTAACGTATTGGCACTGACATAAAACAAATGATCCTCATCCCTAATCCCCAGTGAGTTCACTTTGGACATGTTCGTCTGTTACTGTGCTAGTCATTTCATCTTCTACTACATGTCCAAAACAGCAGCAACCTCTGCTGGCTCAATAGCTACATAAATGAAAATGAATAAACAATAAAGCAGGTGGGCACACATGTTAGGGTCATGTAAAGTTCAGTTCACTTCAGTGATTTACTTTTCTACTTTAGAAAGAATCTGAATAATATTTTAGAAACGAACTCAGCTACTTATCATATTACAGTCTAACAAGTAGTAGAGAAGATTAAGTCACGTGTACCTTTCTCCTCTTCAAAGGTGACAAGTGCCTGTCCGTTTTGCAGAAGCACAGTCGGTCTCTGGCTGATGGCAAACACTCCTCTGATTGGCTGATTATCGTCCTCCCTCTCCTCTTTATTCTGAGCGCTGAACTTTACCTCTGTGTCTGGAATCTGGGCGTAAATCTTTAGAGGTGGAGGAACACACAGACTTACAGGACAATAATTGTATCTGTGACATCATAAAAATTATTTTGTATGTTAATACTGGTGTAATTAATGTAGTCTTATTGCTGCACATTGGAGGGTCCTGAGGACTTTCTTCATTCCCACCTTAAATTTCTGCTTCAGTTTGATAGACTTCGCCCTCTTAGCTTCCAGTTCATCTTGACATCTCCACAGTTTGTCCTGCAAATCCGCTTTGTGTTTACCAAGCTTTTGAATTTCATCCTGTGTGAAAGAATCAAGAGGAAGAAATTAGTGAGTTCCTTGTTATTCTCATCTAATTTCCTCCAAGCAGCCTGTAGATGTTACTGTACCTGCACTGCATTCATGCTTTGACTGAACTCCTTCTGACAATCCTCTTGCTTTTTGACACAAGCAAACATCTCTTGCTGGGCCTTCGTCTTGGCTTCATCCTCTTCCAGTTTTTCCAATATCAGCCTGGCTTTCACATCATCAGCTTTCTCTGCTTTAGTCTTAAAGATAAAGCAGGAAGAGTTCAGAAAGACTCCAGCTAGACTTGAGGACAGGCTGCACAGAAACTGTTCAGGAGAAAATAGTTCCAGTTCCAGATGATGGTGGTGGATTACGCCATTAACGGGAACACATGTTGTTGAATTTTCTTAATGTATTTTTTTAATTCTGTGAACACCACAAACTGAATTATATTCACCTCAATTGTAGTGGCAGTGGAGGCAGAAAAACTGGATTAATACCACAAGAGGGAAGAGACTGCAAATCGACAGTAAATGGACTATATAGAGCAGGGGTAGTCAATTAAAGAGGTGGTATTATGCTCATTTTCAGGTTCAAAATCCTATTTAAGTGTTGTACCAGAACAGGTTTACATGGTTTAATTTTCAAAAAACACCATATTTTTCTCATACTGCACATTGCTGCAGCTCCTCTTTTCACCCTGTGTGTTGTACGCTCCGCTCTTGAGCTACAGAGTGATGCATCTTACATATACAAAATCTATGTTGGGAGTTGCACATGCGCAGATCCCAGGTAAAGACTACTAGCCAATCAGAAGCAAAGAAGGGCGGGTCGTAAGAAACAAGGTAGTGTGATCCAAATCAAAGCCGCTTCAGACTGCGACCGTAACCTAGCAGATGGTAGAAGTTACTCACAAGTCCTTCATCATTGTTCCACATCTTACCATAAACCACTACATAAATCACCATATTTCAACTCAATCTGCCAAAAATTGGCCAAACAATTTCAACGTTTGCTCAGTAGCTTTCACATCAGGTGTAACGTTAGCATTATAGCTATAACTTTAGCAGTGTTAGCCAACGTTTACAACAACTCCGCACTTGAACAGTCTGTGACGTTACATTGCTGTGTTTATTTTAAATATAATTCACAACCAATAAAGCATACTTACAGGTTGTGATTGTGAATTTCCAGGCCCAAACAGAGTCGGAGTTGCATCGTCTTTTAGGACTAAATGTTGAACTGTTGCCAGTGTTCTGACGATCTATGCTGCCTTGCTGAAAAATGTTACCATAGCGCAAATCGATAGACTCGACTCTACTCGGCCCTGCGCCGTTTTCCATTGCAGATAGTACCCAGAGATAGTACGTAGCTTGTCGTCATAGCGACGCCACACACAACTGCCGCAACGTAATGTTCAATGCGACACACACACCATTACGTAGCTTGTCGTCATAGCGACGCCACACACAACTGCCGCAACGTAATGTTCAATGCGACACACACACCAGCCATCACTTCTCGTAAAACTGACAATATTCGAATGAATATTCTCTCTGACCAATCAGCAGTCTGTCGTGTTTTCACGTTACATTTTAGTTTCCCTCAGCTCACTTGGAACCTCGACGGAGGTGATACGAAAAAAAGAACCTGGAAGCAGGTACAACATTTCTACAATGGAAAACCAAACAAAGGCGAGTGGAGCCATAGGGCCTCCGCTCAGACTAGCTTAGTTTGAGGGCGTGCCTGACCCCCGCAAGCTGCTTGGCAAGCTTTATGACGCGTTTTCATTGTGAGGTCACAAGTAAAGGAAGTGAAGGGCTGGACTACAAATCAGCTGTTTTCAAGCGGTTCAGAGCAGAGTTTTCTGTGGGAGATGGGAAGTCCCCTTGGGCTGGACTTTGGGCTTTTTCACTTTGCAAACCTGTTACATGCACAAAAAAAGTGATATAACTCAATAAAGGAGAGGGAAAAAGGGGAAACTCAAACCTCACTTTTTATTAGATTTTTCTGAAATGAAGTGGATTATTTTTCAAAATCTACATAAAAACGTCATATTTTTAAATACAGCTTTTAGCTTACTTAAATTTAGAATTTATTATTAGAATAGTTATTTATAGTCCCTATAGTTGGATATGAAAACTGATAGAAAATATTGTTAAAAAATGATTGAATTGTACTTATTTGATTTGAAAGTAAGCTATTGACTACATACATGTGGATACAACTAGACTTTGGCACTGAATGATAGTCGTTATGATGTTCCAGAACTTTACTTGAGGATATTTTCTCTAGCTGGTCTTTGAATTTTAAAGAATTCATTTCCCACAGAAAACTCTGCTCTGAACTGCTTGAAAACAGCTTGTTTGTAGTCCAGTCGTTTCCCTTTCATCCCTGTGACGAAACAGGGAACTTTTACTATTCATGTTAGCGGAGCGCTAAACCGGAAGTTAGCCTGCTCGGCCGGCAAAAGTCAACGCAGTGGACGCTGCAGCGCTACTGCCGACTGGTGTTTGGGGGTGTAATTTCGGAATGACACCGGATACACCGACGCACGTAGACCCTACGCAGGAGTATAAATCAAGCTTAATAACTCACTCTGAAACTCTCTCTTGCTCCAGTACATGTTGCCAAGCTAGTCGGCAACATATACAGCTGAAATGAAGCATGTTTTCTGGCTTCTCACTGGCCCACCCTTCTCTGCTTCTGATTGGCTAGTAGTCCTTAACTACAAACTGCGCATGTGCAACTCCCAACAAAGATCATTAAGAGACAAGATGTATCACTCCATAGCTAAAAGGAAGCACAGGGTGAAAAGAGGAGCTGCAGCAATGTGCAGTATGACAAAAAAATTGTGTTTTTTGAAAAAATTAAACCTTGTAAACCTCTTCTGGTACAACCCCTAAATAAGATTTTGAACCTGAAAATGAGCATAATACCACCTCTTTATCTTAAAGGTTCAGTGTGTAACATTTCTGAGGATCTATTGACAGAAATGCAATATGAGATCCATAACTATGTTCTCAGTGGTGTATAAAGACCATACATAATGAACCATTATGTTTTTATTACCTTAGAACAAGACATTTTTATCTACATAACTGCGGGCACCCCCTCCTATGGAGGTTGCTGTATTTTGTCGTCATGTTTCTACCATAGTCTTAAACGAACAAACAGCGCTACAGAGCGCGTTTCATCATCACGGCGTGCTTCTTCTGCTTGTGTAATTCCGGTAGTGTAGATGCCTGTCACTACATTGAATACGTACAAAGAAGAAGAAGGACTAATAATAATAGCAATATACAGTCTCTGAGTAGTCTTCTGGTTTATTAGAAGTAAAAAGAGAAGTGACATTTGGACAACTGAAGGAGCACACAGTTCTACAGTCTGTGATTTGGCTTTGCCAGTTACGTTAACGACACAATCAGCTGATCAGTAACGTTAATTGGCAATAAAACCGTAACGTTAGCTTAGAGCATGGAAGCATCAGCCAGCTAAACTTTTAGTGACTGGTAGGAAAACATTTATTGTTAGTTGGATTGGTTTATTCTCCAGCGCTGTTCTTTGGCTTGTGGTGTTAGTTGGATTAATTTCATGTAGTTCTCTCTCTCTCTCTCTCTCTCTCTCTCTCTCTCTCTCTCTCTCTCTCTCTCCCCAGCACTGTTTTAGCTTTGTATGTTACATTCCTGAGAATCAACTGATTGCTAATTGGCAATAAAACAGCAGCTTCCCAGCATCGAAGCTCAGATCAGCCAGCTAAACTTTGAAAAAGTATGTAGTTGGATTGTAACTTCATGTAGTTATTCTCCAGCCTCTGTTATGGCTTTGTTATGTGGACAGAAAAGTGCTGTTACCTTCCTGAGTCAAACAGCTGATGAATATTATCGGTAATGAAACGGTAACAGCAGGGAAGCTCAGATCAGCAGCTAAACTTCACATTTTACTGCCTTGGTGGAAAACAATATATAACAAGACCGTGTGCCTATCAAGTGACCAATAATAAATACTTTCCGAATTTGCATTAAAAAAACTTATTGGATATTGCTTCCCACTGTGCACACAAATATATAATTTGTACTTTCACATGCTAAATGCCCATTAAAAACGTTACACCGTGTTACCACAAGCTGAAATTTTGGCTGTCAGTACTACTTTGTGTTTCTGTTGTATTTAAAAAAAAATTAAAATAGACATTTTGGTAATGTTTGCAGAAACAGTGAGGCTTACATTGTCCTGGTATCTGTCAGTGGTCATACTTGATGCACTAGATGTGATAGTGTTAGAGAATTTCTTCATTTACTTTGGTATGTTAGTCCAGATGAGCCAACACTCCCAAGATGTAAAATACTGTATTACAGGAGTACGAGACATGATGTAGCACTTCATTTCTTCATGTGGCTGTTGTTTATTAATGAACAAGTAACAATAATATTCAAAAAAACATCTGGTTTTACATAATTTATATATATATATATACATATATATTCTTAATATATCTAAAAGAAACCTCATTTCTTGACTGGTATTTTCTTTTATCTCATAGATGATATCTACGGCTCGCTTGGATAGGGGAGGGGGGGGGTGCAATTCGCAGCCCTCACCACTAGATGTCACTACAACTTACACACTGAACCTTTATATAGCCTATACAGAATGCAGGAAGTTAACTTATATTTGAGTATTTTCTCCCCCTTGGTGGTCCTTTAATTTAAATAAAGGATCTGAGTGCTGCGTTCTACTAACTTGATGCTTTTCACGGAACTGTTGAATTCTCAGGAAGCCTACCTTTTTGAACAGAAATGTAGGCTACAATATTACACCATACCGCAATGTATTTTGCCAGATACTGTTTTGAAACTCCGCGTTGAGCGACTCGCATTTTTCTCTCTGTATGCTGAGCTCGACCTAAACTTACTTCGGTGTTGAAATAAAACGGTAGCCTACTTCACTCTGGAATCCCATATTTAAATATTTTGAACTGTGCGTCGTACCTTCCAAGTCTCCAGCTCTTTCTTGGCCTCCTCCATTTGACTTCCCTCCTCCTCCAGACCACCGTCCATCTGACAAAAAGGAATAGCCCTGTTACCAGCTGAACCGGACTACAGTCCTTCCCAATAAGTAGACCAACGATCACACTCGTCAAATACTTTAATATTCCTTACCTTATCTTCTATCGGGCGGTTACTGTAAATCTCCGCCATGACCTGACTGACGAAAACGAAACTCTTTTCACGAAATAATAACTCCAGTCAAATAACTTACTGCCTGTCCTAATAGTAAACCTGTCTATCGTTTCTGCTTTATTTAGCTGTCGAATAGTCGTAAAGTGGGGGGGAAATGCAAACAGAGAAAACACACGACGCAGATCCGACTGACTGAAATCAAAAGTGAAAGCTAAGAAGGCTGGATTGAAGCATATGCCGTGTTCCAGACTGCTCGGAAATGTCCAAGTTGAAATATCTGACAATCAACCTTAAAGCGTTGCAGCCATAGACTGTTTATAAAAAGGTTCCAGCTGCGTGGTGATGCCTGACTCCGAAAGGGAACGAAAAATATGGCTGACCGTGACAAACACTTTGTAAAGTGTAAGCTACACAGTTGCGCCCTGAGTAATTTATTAAAGAGGTTTTAATAGCTGGTTTGTTTGACAATACTTTAGAGACTGAGTAAGACATATTGTAATTCAATACAGAACAGATGAAATGACGGGGTGCTTTGAAGCGTTCCATGCATGTGAAATTTACCAATAAGACATAATAGTACAGAATCATTGATGAATCATTAATTTACAATTTAGAAACAAGACCAAGATGTCTTCAAATTTTGGTGTTAATGTGTTGAAACTCTGAAAAGTCAATAGAGCAACTTCTATCCAGAATTCTTGAGAATAAGTACAATTAAAGAAAAGATGACTAAAGGATTCAACGTCTAGTTTACAGAAAGAACATAAAGCTGAAAAATCTGTTTTAAATTTATTTAACAATTTAATACAGGGATAGTATATATGTGAAATTTTCATATGAACTAGTTTCATTTCATTTAGTATGAGGAATTTATTAAAATCTGACAAGATATCTTCTGCCAAGTATTCTGGGGAGTTTCATTTCCATAAGAGATCCAATTTGGGAAAGTCACTATGACCAGAGAAGCTGGGATTGGCTCCAGCCCCCCGCGACCCTGTACGCAGGATGGTTCAGCTTAGTTTGCCACTATAAACTCAGCTGGTGGAGACAGACCAGTCCTCCTCTCTACCAGCAGCATCAGAGGGAGGAGGACTGGAGGGATTGAGCTGTTCATTCTTTCTAAACTTCAATCAGTATGTTGATGTCAGGAATAGGATTTATTTTACAGACATGTTAGATTTGTTTCCAGTGAGATATTAGTGACTTTGCTGTTGTAAATCCTGTTGCTGCTCTAGAAACAACATTTAGTTTATAAAAGTTTTTTAATAATATATGCAATTATTTAGTAATAAATAGGACTGATAAGAATCGATAAAGAACTGAACCAATAAGGAATACCAATCAGGGGTGGCTTGTTCATTAGGGCGACCGGGCGACGCCCCACCAAGCCGGGAAAGGCAGGGCATTTTTCTCACACTTTCTACCACACTGTTAGTTAGCTGTGACTGTTTTTGACAGACAGTTTGACTTTGAATATCGCTGTCCAATCAGCGCCAAGTCATGTTCCGTGGAGTCCCGCCTCTTTTGGGGCAAATTCAGTCTGGTTGTAATTCGCCCAGATCTCTCATAGACTTTCATATAAAGTTTTTTTTCGAGCTGCAGGTGCTGCAATGCAATCTCTATGGGTTCTGGGAGGGCTCGCACTTACAATGGATAGAAAAGGTCTACACACCCCTGTTAAAATGCCAGGTTCTTATGATGTAAAATAATGAGACAAAGATAAATCATGTCAGAACTTTTTCCACCTATAATGTGACCTATAATGTGTACAATTAAAAATAAACTGAAATTTTCGAGGGGGTAAAATGAAAAATAAAAACCTTACAATAACCTGGTTACATAAGTGTGCACTCACCCTTAGACTAACATAAATATAAATCAACATGCAGCCTGGGGAGCCAGGATTGAAACACCAACCTTCTGAATAATGACCAACCTGCTCTACCTCCTGAGCCACAGCCACCCTGAATGTCTAGTACACTAGAGCTTCTATTGTTCATTAAGCCTTACAAAGAAGTGTTGCATCAAAGAATGTACAGTAACTTGAGCTAAAGTGAACAGGAATGTTATTTTTGTACAATGTAATTTAATAAAACTATAACTAAGTTACTGAAAAGATCCTGTTACTGAAGTTTCTAAAACATTACATTATATACTAAACAAGACATTTTGAAAGCTTGAACACTGCCTTTGTCTCTTTTGTCCCGGATTGAGTGGGCCCCTCTGACAAAACAACTGGCCTTAATAAAATTGGTCTAGAACCGCCACTAAATGGCAGGGTATACAATTCTTACAATACCTTCTGCCTTTGACAACAATACTCAACCTTGTATGGTGAGGTCTCTTTGCAGCCAACAATTTAAACCTTTCTTTGCTTTTTCTATTTTGGGCAAGAAGTTAGTTGATACTCTCTCAGATGCAGTTTTATCTATCAAGATACCAAGATATATCACAGAATTTTTCACCTTTATGCCACAAGTTTTATCAGAATTCTGCACTGTTAATATCTCACATTTGGTTAATCTTAAGACCTGATGCCTTAGAAAAATACTTTAAAGCCTCAAATACAATTGGAACTTGAACTTCGGTGTCATCTGCTATTTGTACGTCTTCAGTATTTGTGCAATAAATATTGTGGATGTCAATGAGTTCAGCAGCAATTAAAATAAAAAATGGAGATATTGGGCACCCCTGTCTTATGCCTCTTTTAACATTAAAACAAGGTGATGTGCCATTAACTAATGAGACACTGCTATTGAGATTTAACCATCTTTCTAAATTTTCCCCAAATCCAAATTTAAGCAAAGATTCAATTATAAAGGGATGTTCCACAGGCCTTGTAAAAGTCTAAAAAGTGTAACTGCTTCTTCATTAATTGTTTGAGGATATGTCTATCCTTCATAAAACCCGACTATATGATTATGATCTGATTTCATTCAGACAGGGTTTAAAGAGGTGGTATTATGCTCATTTTCAGGTTCAAAATCTTATTTAGAGGTTGTACAGGAACAGGTTTACATAGTTTAATTTTCAAAAAACACCATACTTGTGTGTCATACTGCACATTGCTGCAGCTGCACTTTTCACCCTGTGTTGAAGGCTTCGTTTAAGCTATGGAGTGACATCTTGTTTCTAATTGATCTTTGTTGGGATTTGCACATGCGCAGTTCCTAGTTAAGGACTACTGGTAAACACAGCTTCATTTTAGCTGTATATGTTGCCGACCAGGGGTGCGTTTCCTTTACAACCACGGAAGGTAGCATTGAACTATCTTGGTACGATGCATCGTTAAACTAACAAAGACCTGTTGGTACCACCGTGGTTCGAACTAACTTAGTTTGAACCAACATAATTCGAACTAACATGTTTCCAGGTGTGTTTGTCTGACTTTCCCAGCAGGAAACTCACAAAACGTACTATTCTGCCTGCATTATTATGCTAACTTATTATTTAGGCTTTTCATATTATAGTTGTACAGGCAATAACAAGAAAATCATGCTTTTGGGAAAAGCAGCCCAGCTTGGCAACACAGATCAATCAAAAATCAATTCCAGCATAGTCTGTAAGAGGAGCAGGATAGATATTACGAAAGCACAAGGAAGGTGCCAGAGAATCAGAGGTAAGCCAGAGATCTATGCAAGATTTCTGATGAAGGTCAGCTTTGAACCACGTAAACAAATCCAATGACTTTGGATACATAAGTCTGAACGCATCTACCAATGACAGACTACTGCAAAGTTTGATCTACCTCTAGGGGGAAACGTGTCAACATATAAATCTGGGGCTTCATTAAAGTCACCACCAATAAGTGGGCAGAAGAAAATGTAGCTTTTAGGGTGTGTATCTTGGCAGATAAATCCTGAAGGAGAGTGTTGTTCAGGGTGGTCCCATTAAAAACATGAATATTAGCTCAAATAAAGGAATCATCCATTTCAACAGCACTAACAAATCATCTACTTTCAGGAAAGAGTAATTCAATAATAGAACCATTAAAGGTAGGATCAGATAATGTCATAATGCCCCCTGAATGACTACAACCATGACAAAAGAGACCTCCAAAAAGTTTCATCTCTCTGACATGAATGCATTTCTTGTAAGTATATGACCCTCTTTTGTGCTTTACAAAACAAAAATAAGGCTTTTCTTGTGCAGAAATCCTCCTTCCAGTGATGATGGTGAATAGACCACTGTAGTCGGCCAGCTTCCCTTCTTTTCTCACCTGCTCCACAAGTGTCTCCAATAGACAGAGAGAGGATGGTGTCTGTGTTCTCTCAATAGATTTCTCAATACATTAAAGCTTCTCAAGAATGGAGTCCTGTCTTTCACCGATTTTGTTGATGGCAGCAATTTAATTTGAATTGCTCAACTTGGATTTGAATTTACTAGTTTGAAACTGAATTCCAATAAACTTGAAACACTATTGAGCAATAAAGATATTTTAAGTTCCATACATGTCTCTTGCTCAGTTAGCCAATTCATTACATCCCATTACTCAATTTGCAATTTGGCCTAGTGGAGCTAACAAACTGTTACCTTTTAGGAAGGTTGATTTATTGTCTCAATACAAGTTGTAGAGCTCTTTTAGCAATGAGTTTTGATGATTTTATTATTCATGTGAACGTTGAGAATGACAGCTTCAGTACTGCGTTCATCTCTCTGTTAGATTCCATTGGCTTCTTTCAGAGTGTTTATGAACCGACTCACTGTTTTAACCACACCCTCGACCTTGTTTTGGTATACGGTATTGAAATTGAACATTTAATAGTGTTCCCACAGAATCCCTCTTTATCTGACCACTGTTTGAAAACTTTTTCTATTGCTGAACTACACGGCATTTGTCAAAAAATTCTATACAAGATGTCTATCTGGTAGTGCTGTAGCTAAATTTAAGGATGCGATTCCATCAGCACTAAATTCATTATCAAGTCACAAAGTAACGGAGGACTCCTATGCTAATTTCAGTCCCTCCCAAATCGATCATCTTGTTGATAGTGCTGCAGGCTCCCTGCGAATGACACTCGACTCTGTAGCCCCTCTAAAAAAGAAAATAATAAAACAAAGACGGTTAGCTCCATGGTATAATACTGAAACTACTGAAATTAAAGCAAATATCGCGGAAACGTGAGAGGAATTGGCGTTCCACCAAACTGGAAAATTCTCGTTTAATTTGGCAAGATAGTCTTAAAACTTATAGGAAGGCCCTCCGTAATGCCAGAGCAGCGTACTACTAGTCATTAATAGAGGAAAATAGGAACAACCCCAGG